AAACCCAAAGAGTAAAGGTTGAGACTTCGGCTTGGTTCCGGCTTTCCAGTTAAAGTTTCCCGGTGAAAACATCCAAGTGCACAGGGGGGTTTAGGGTTTAGGGTTTAGCCCAGTAAGCATATTATGATAAGGGCACCCTTTTTTGGTTGGTTAGTTTATGAGGGAGCCTTGAACTAAAAAAAAGGGAAATGGGCACCACTGGGCTACCAAGAGTCGTGCCCGGAGGGAGCCGGATGACTTCCTTGAAGCATCTGCCAGCACTTTGCTCCGAGGTGCCTTGCAGCCTCTCAGCATGACCCAGAGGCCTGCTTTTGAGCAGAGCAGGGCTGCGTCCATCTGTCTCGTGTCGGAAGACTTTGCGATCCTGCTCGCATGGACATGCGCATGGCTCCCAGAAGGTCGTTGAGGACCGCGGGCGCGCAGCGCGGGCGCAGAGGGAGGCGACAGCATGCGCTGGAGAAGATCTCTAAGCAACACAACACCCCCGCGATGACGAAGCTGAGCACAACAATTTCTGGCATCTCAGCTGATGGCACTGTGGTGACATGACTACTTTGGATCTGCTCTTGGACTCTGCATGTGAGTTCTAGATGCTGAGTACCCTGGGCCAAAAGGTAAACCTTGAAATTATGGTAGGATTCTATATACCCCCACAAGGTTAAAGGTTACATACTCAGCTACTAAGGAGTACTGCAATGAGCCTGACCTGCATGGTCTAGTCAGGGCGCCAAAAAAACGCTGCAAGCACTTCCTGAAAGCAGAAAGTATGTGTGGAAGATGTGGGAGCAAGCTTTGGACGTGTGAACCATCAGAGAAGAGTTAAGTGAGCGTGTCTAAACTTGAGGCGAACTCAGCAGCCCGACAGCCTAGCAACCAGCTGCTTCAAGACATGCAAGCATGGCAACTTTTGGCGACCTGCTCATCTTATAAGTTGGGCCACTGCGCACAATTGTCGCAAGCAATCACACCATGAGGCGGTGGATGGTGCTGGTGCCGGCATCCGTGATAATGTTGAAAATGTGTAGTGCCTGCTTCCTCGTCGTGGCCTTGTGCGTGAAACTTCGGGATCAATGGAGCTCTGTTACCCTAGTCGGCTTGCCAGGATTCAAGCTGCGCGGGGTTCTATGACGTTCTGATGCGCATCGGCCAGGGGAGATCGCAGCTAGCAGGCAGCCGATACGGGAGGCACCCAATCCACTCCAGCCTCCAGACGCGCGCTGATGCGACAACTCAAGCCTCCTTCCTATGTGGCCTTGTACTACAGACCCTAAGATTCTATAGCCCGGAACATAGGCTACCCGGTTCCCCCTTCTTTGGGAAACCCACCCATATTCGGAGTGAGCAGCTTATCCTAAACCTTTTTTGCTAAAACCCTAAAACCCTAAATACTCCTATAACCCTAAACCCTAAACCCGCTTATGTGCCAAGGCACCAGCTCACGGAACCGAGCCTTGAGCTGCAGCAACACAGCGACCTCGGCCTGCCAAGCAGACTTGGCCTTGCCCGCTGCCTTCCTAGGTTGCGCCAAGATCAAGACCCGCTGAGAAGAAGAAATCCTGAAGTAGGGTTTAGGGTTTAGGGTTTAGGGTTTGGGGTTTAGGGTTTAGGGTTTAGGGCTTAGGGTTTAGGGTTTAGGGTTTAGAGTTTAGGGTTTGGGGTTTGGGGTTTGGGGTTTAGGGTTTAGCTAAGAATGGAAAAGCACATCAAATGTCCCAAGGTCCTACCTGGCTTCATGGCACGAATCTCGTCCCCCTTTGAGGTGATGTGCTGGCTCACCTTCGCGATGGCCTCCACATCAACAGACACTGACGAGGGTGCATCGGCGTCTGCGACCACGCACACCATCTTATGGTCCACAGCCTGCCTAGTTCATGGTTGGGATCGTCTTAATTAAACATTTAGACTTATATTCCTTATTGGGTTTAAGTACCCTTGAAAATGTAAAGTGATACCCAACTATGACCAAGCTGCACTCTGAGGTCTTGTAGCCGCATGGAAGCACGTAGAAGAGGCTCTCGAGCGTCGGCGTGTACGGTTCGCGCCAAGGTGAGCAGACAGTGTGCATCAAGAGCCGCATAGGAGAGCTGCTCGTGGCTCAGCGGCCGGTTACCTATACTCCCCTAGGACTCCCCTCCCCTTAGAACCTTAGTAAAAACATTATGTTCAATATCCTCTTGGGTTTTATATGAACAAAAACAAAAATAAGTCCCAAGGGAGATATAGTTACCCCAGTCACTTGTTTGCAGCCGCTTGCTCAGGGGAGATCCCAAGAACTCCAGGCACAGCGCCGACAGGCCTGTCGACTGGCCTTTATGGCACCGGGCCTCCATCAAGACTTCTTGCAGATCGATGGTTCCATGAATCTGCCTGAAACACTCCAAGTGAGGGTAAGACGCGGCCAGGCGCTGCAAGTCATGTTGCAGCCCGAAGCCCAGCTTCAATATGCCGCGGTGCTTGAACAGCTTCGCCAAAACAAGAGACAGCATCTGCGCAGTGCACCTATCCGAAGGTGCTAAGGCCAAAAGATCAAAAATGACAACGAAGTCCTCAGCAGCTAGCTGCAGTGTGGAGCAGGGCTCCATGGCTGCAACGGACTGACTACTCCGACGATGCTTCTGCATGCCCCCGCGCTTCTCAAGAAACGGCTTCCACTCGGTGTCCAATCCGATGGAGCTGCTCTTGCGACGGAGCAAGGCGTCCACGGTCGGCTCCTCCTCTTGGGCAGCATCAGCTAAAGCCATCCTTACTTCTCCAATAGCCAAGGGGAAAGAAGGTTAAACTTTATGACTCCTACGAAATAGGGAAACCCAAAAAGTTTAACGTTCAACTATTGGCTAAGTAAGCATCAGGCGAGCTCGGATTTGTAGAAGTTCTGCCTCAGTGGACACCAGCACGACATTTGCAGCCACCGCCTCGGGCAGCTGCAGGCAGGCTGCATCATCTTCCTGGGTTGGCCTTTTGAAAGCCTTTGAAAGATATTCGTATCTTTATATATATATATATATAGGGTCCCCTAAAAACGCAAAAAAGGAAAAAGTAAAAAATTCCCGAAAGCCAACCTGGCATCTGCCGCAGAAGCCATCTTTCGGTCGCTGGCAGCTCGGAGCTCCCTCTCTTCGGCTTCTTCTGCCTCCCGCACGCAAGCGGCACAGACCTCCTTGAAGCTGCCCTGGGCCTTTACTCCCCTTAGAAACCAAAAAAACTGTTCATTATCCTCTTGGGTTTTATATACACAAAAATAACAAAAATGATTCCCAAGGGGGATATAGGGGCATCGGACCAGCCGGGCACGTCACCATCCAAGCCTTGATCCAGCAGAGCAAAGCGCTCGACTAACCGGCCGGCGGCCAGCCGTCTTCCCTTGCGAATGGCGTAGGAAACAAGCCGGAGTTGCAGCCGTACGTCGCCCTCCAGTAGGTTGTAGGCATGTTGGGGTTGACCATCTTGCAAGGAGCACAAGACAGGTGTGAACAGCACCTCATCTTCGATGCGATCCGCGAGGTCGTGTGTGCGCACGAAGCGCAAGGACGTGCTCAGCTTGATGGGCTCGCCACCCGGTGGTCGCTTGAGATAATGATCCCTCACAGTGTCGGCCAGTATTCGGCGGCCCTGCTCTGTGCCAAAGGGGCTGTGGGCCCCTTCGCATTCCCTGCAAGTGCGGATGAGCTCTGTCAAAACTACTGGAGACAGCTGGCCTGTATTCCGCCTCGGCTGAAAGCTGAAACTTCTGCTGCTGGTCTGCACCTGCTGTGTCGAGCATCTATGCACACTGGTACTTTTGTATGCCAAGCTTCTGAAGGAAGTCCACATGCGTCTCTGACAGGCAACGAGCCGCTGGCGGCAGGGAGCGGAAGAGCATGCGAAGAAGTCGCACCTGTGCGCCCTCCACCACCTGCACGAAGCAGAACACTTTCGCAGCACCGTCATAATCGTGCCAAGTTGAACGATTGTCACGCGACTTCTTCAGCTTGCCTGGAGGTGCTCCAGCTGCATCAAGATGAGCAAGACGAAGGATATCGGCTGCCAGCAGCCCTCCTCCAGGACGCCCGCGCTGGCTTCACCTGTCATCTCACGGATGTTCATGCAAATGTCGGGGCAACCGGCTCTGCTGGAAGTTCGCATCTTGGCCCAAGTGACAAAAAGGGGCTGAAAGTTCGTTCATGCAACATGGCAGCATTGTGGCCTAGTCGTAGATGTTCTCGGAAGTTCCACGCATCCAGCTTTAGCTTCTGGTGCAGCTCGCGCGACTCGGCACGGTGCACAGCAGTCACAACAAGCCGATTGATAATCTAACAAAACAATAACATATAATAAGAACAGTATCATCACACATTTATATAGACATGGCGACAATAAATGCATATATACACGTATGATGATAATAATAATAATCATAATCAGAATAACAGTAATCATATATGTGTGCGAAGCTGAGGCTACTAACTCACTTGGGTGCTGGACGCCACGCCAGATGCCAACGAGCAGCCAGCTCGGCGTAGTCTTGCGACATGCCCTCGTCGAGCTCTTCCTTCTCCAACAACCCAGGAAGAAAAAGGTTAAACTTTATGATTCCTACGAAAATTAAATAAGGAAACCCAAAAAGTTTGAAATTCAGCTATTGCCTAAGTCAGCTTCCTGCATCGCAGCCTTTTGAATGCCCGACCGCACCAGCGAGTACCGAAAGACCAAATATTGCGATGCACTGGCCGCCGCCAGCCGCAAGGGCAACGCAGCCTTTCATCCGTTTTGCCCCCAGGATTCTTCTGTTTAAACCCTAAACCCTAAACCCTTGGCACTGTTGTGCAGATGCCATTGTAGTCGTGATTTTGTCTTGTTGTCACTTTTGTGTTTTTCATCAGTATGGCTGCTATTGATGTGACTGCTTGCTTAGCCACTATGTGATATTGATGGCTTGTGTTTTTGTTCGCGTTCGTATGTATGTATGTATGGCTGTATGTATGTATGTGCGTATGTGCGTATGTGTGTATGTGTGTATGTAG